AAGGGTAAGGGTAAGGGTAAGGGTTCTACACAGTCAGTTAAAACCAATAGAATGACATAGACGAATCGGAGTTTAATCGTACACGAAACAGGAGTTCGGAAACCCACACTTTCGCCATTCGCTGAGAGGAAAACAATACAGGGGCTATAGAGCTAATAGTACACGAAGATGAGGTCCGGAAGCCCACTGATTCTAATAGTACACGAAAAAAGTGTTCGGAAACCCAATTTCGCCGTTCGCTCGTAAGAAACCAACACAGGGGCGATATAACCAATAGTACACGAAGGTGAGGTTCGCAAACCCATTGTGGAAGACGAGAAAACAGCGTTCCTCTTTTCTTGTTCGCTTTCCTCTTCCTCCTCCTCCTCCTCCCCCTCCTCCTCCCCCTCCTCTTCCTCCTCCTCCTCCTCCTCCTCCTCCTCCTGCCCGTCCCCCACCTCCTCTTCATCCTCCTCTTCCTCCTCCTCCTCTTCCAGTTCTTTTCCAGATGCTCACCCTCCCAGGTCAACGCCTCCCGAGGGTCGTAGCTGTCCAGCTCTGCCAGCGCGTCCGCCGGCAAGGGTGAGACGTGCACGCCGAGCGTGCCAGTCCTGAGAGCCCTGCTGGCCCCGAGGGCCACGAAGAGGGAGAGGACCACGAAGATCGTCGTGATGTTGATAATCTTGATTATCTGATATGGAATGATGGTGGAAAGAGGGGGCTGCCGCCGCAAACAGGATTCGCACCCTCAAGAGAGAGGCTTCTCACTGAATGGCTTGAGCCAAAGCGGCAATCACGCCGCTTTGCCATATACATGCCTCTCTGCACGCTGGGCACTCATGCTTGCCCTCCCTTCTCCCGGGAGGACATCTACACATCAACTCGGGGTGGGAAAAACTCAGCGAAAGTCTACGAGCTGATCCCACGCATACGCACTGAGGGCACAGCATACTCTCTTACGCGGCTGGCCCGCCGCTTGCAACCGACCTCTGATAGGCAAGTTGCCAAAACAAACATACAGCGCTCTCTGTGGAAGCACCCTGAACACAACACGGGAGCTCCAGAGGCTAAAAGAAGTGAAAAGACGGCAAAAATATATAGATTCTCACAAAGAACACATCAACTGCTACTGCCAATACCACAGTAACAGACAAGCAACACAGCGAGGAGCAATACGTCTCGCACCAATTACATGTAAGGCCTACTGCAGTGTAGACACAAAAAATATATGGGGAAAATATTCTCCCTGCAAATACAGTAGACCAATCTTCATCAAAGATCTTGCAATCCATCGAAATATGTAAAGATAAAGACTCACTGATATTCCCCCTCACTGGCATCCTTGTGAGGACTCCGCAGGCACAGAGCCAGGGGTTCATCTCCAGTTATCATCAAAACTGCCGTCTCCCATAGCTTCAAGATAGGTTCTCGAGCCAGTCCGCCCTTGGTCAACGCGTCGCTGATCATGGCTCTAGTGTCCACCCACCAGAGCTTACAGAGAGTACCTGCTTCAAGTCTATCACGTAGAGCTCGCAGCAAATACAAAAGGTGAGGTTCCGCTGGTGCCTTCAGCTCTGTGGCACCCAGCGCCGTGAACAAGCCCCTGTTGTCCGTGCAGATGTGCAAGTCAACTGGTAGCCTTCCGGTGTCCATGCATTTCTGAATCTGTTTCGCCGTCAAGGGGCCGTGAACGATCTCACACACCATCACTTGTGTCAACAAAGCATTGCTGATACCGTCATCCACACTTGCCAGCTCCGCCGAAAAAGTAGAACGGCATACTCGAGGTTGCTTTCGTGAGTAGAACTCCACTGCTGCACACAGTCCTCCTTTCGGCATGAAGTCCCGACCAGCAATCGCGATAACTGCCGCTCTCACAGCCAGGCAGTCCGGCTCGGTCGCACGAAAAGCACTGTCGGGGAAACCCACAACACTCCATGGCAGAGGTACTGAATAGTAGACAAGCGAACTCTTCTTTCTCTTGATCCACCGTACAACCGAGTTCAGGTGTCTAACATGTTTCCAGCAAGGTTCATGAGCGTGTCGCTGTAGATACCCGATATGGACTGCAACATCTGCTCGCGTGACTAACATCCAGGCTGCTCCACCCAAGAGTGACCAAAATGAAGTTCGGTCTTGAGAATCGAGGGCTCCTTCATCAGCCCGAATCTTGTCCACCTGCATCGGCCGAAGTTGAGTAGCATAGTGATCCTGTGAGCACCACACAGATCCGTCTTCATGCTGATCATGAATAACGCCACAGTGCTCGAACCTTCTCTTCTGCCTTGTGAGTTTTCCGAACTCCGACTCAAGAGCGTCCATGAAGGCGTCAGCAATCGGTTCGGTCGAAGCTCCCTTGAGATCGTCCACGTGGGTACTGCACACCATCTGCAGATCCTCAATTGCTGTGTCCGGGTCAGTGAACAACACGTCTGTGCCTCGAGCCGCATCCTTGTCAGCGTGCATGGGTACCAGCTCACGAGGTACCGGTTCGCATCGAGGGCCAGCCCATTTGCAATAAAATTGAGAATCGGTCACCAACGGCAAGAGCTGAAGCTTTGTCATTACTTGTTTTAGCCTGAGATTCCATAGCCTTGGCGCGTCCTTGAGACCGAAACCTGGACGTACCATCTCCAAGCAATGCCGACTCACATCATAGTTGGATAGCGGTTCAAACTGCCTTGCGATCTTTACCGTGTCCTTGGGCAGGTCCAACTGAACGGTTCTGAGAGGTTCCCCTGTCATATCTGCCACATCTTGAAATGTGAGTCCCTTCAGAAATGCGCTGCCAACATCACAGGACCACAACATCCACTTGGGGCGACTTGCCGCGATGAAGTTCACTATCCTCTGGCTTTGCCTGGAGGCAGTCGCACTGAAAGTGTCCAGACGATCCTGCTGCATATCTTTGAAGCCCTTGATGCATAGTCGCGCTTTGACTGCCAACTTGCCGTCTGGCTGCTTCTTCCAGCGGATAACCCATCGAGAGTCCATCAAGTTGGTGCATCCTTGCCTGCTTCGTTGCTTGAGCGTGCCCAACTCGATCCAGTTGCCTAGCTCCTTCGACATAGCCTTTTCCACCTCCACTCGATGCTTAATCAGGTCATCCTTGCTGAGTTCGTCAGCCTCTCGTTCAATAACCATCTTGGTCTTCCCCGTCGAGTTGACGGACAGAATAATGCGGTGGCTCTCGTCGTTCGCAAAGAGAGAAAAGATCTCAGACTTGGGCAAGTCGTGCGCATCGGTGGTCATGATCACAAGCCTGGAAATCTCTGATCCAAACTCCACCTCCAGAGCTTGCGTCTCCCTTTCTGTATTCTCAAGATGAGTAGCCACCTCAACAGCTTCCAACACTCGGGAATCTAACCAGTACTCTGCGTCAGGCGGTGATCGGTTGTCAAGGATAGCGCGAAAGAAACTAAACTCTGTCCTCACGTGTCGCATCCATCCAGGATCCCGAGGTTCCAGCCACAGATCCTGCACGTCTGAATTGCCGTCGGGCTCTATACGGTACGGCTGTTGAAATGGTCGCCACGTAGGTCTTAGCAGTTCGGGGTCTGCCTCCGCATCTCGGGGATGAGCTACCCCTTGAGCCTGAGGCTCAGATGCCTCGGATTCCTCGTCGATGGTGGCCTCTGGTGTAGGCCAGCGATGCCATCGATCCGATCGTTCGTCCACGTCATGCGGATCGCGCGGCCGTACCTGACCGCGCGGTGCTGGAAAGTCGGGCATTTGATGAGGACCTCCACCATGAGGGACGTGAACATCAATTTGCCGCAGAACCTCGGCTGTAGAAATTTCCACCATTAGAAACTGCACCCAGCACACGCGCCCAAAACCTGGCCCCATCATATGTTGTGTACTCGCCTTCGCTCGAGGATCGAAACTTGCATGGTGATAGCCAATCGATTCTCCTGGAAGCCACCATACGATCATGCATGTGTGATGGCCTCGGGCAGCTGGAACTTCTCGCGAACCGTACCCCAGTCTCGTGGCTACGACTCCATATAGTTGAAAGTCGCAGGCAGCCACGTGGAAAGCTGCCGTCGTCAGAGTCGGCAGCCGACGACTGGTCTTCGTCATCCTCCAGTGCCCATCCTCTCCGATCTCATATCCCAGGAGTAACGTAGTGCCCGCCGCCATGTTCTCCACATAGTATACTAAGAGCTGGTACGGCTTGGTGTCCCCGCGGCCAGGAGCCGCAATAAGAGTCCACCATGTTACTGCCTTGCGAACATCGGCCGGTCGGCACGGTAGCGTGCGACCCTGCCATCGCACATCGATGATGCCCTCGTCAGCTCGATCCATGGCAACTACCTTGCAAGGTCCCCGCCAGCCAGTGACATCCTTGTTCGGCGGGTCCCTGAAGATGTCAACCGAGTCGCCTACCCGAAGGTCTCCGAGCTGAGCCGCTGGTCTCGTTCGCGTGCGAGCCGCTATCTTCAGCCTTTCCTGAGCGTTGCCCTGCGCGATGTTGGCCAGAGCCAACTCTCTGACCCGATGAACATGGCGAGATACTGAGCCTCCAGACTCGTCGTCGAACTCAGATCCTCCCCCTCCGAGCTCCAGTAGAATGTTCGGAACCCGACCATACAAAGCCGCATATGGTGTAGTCCCGTGAACGCTTAGGAGGGTGTTCATGGCCAACAAGGATTCATCCAGCAATTCTTCCTTCGAAACTCTGATGCCTTCCTCATTTGCTTGACTTCTGACTCGATGATACTGTGTTCGAAGTAAGTCGTTCCTCCGTTCAATAACATGCGCGTGCGCTCCTTTGGGCTTCGGTCTCAGGTCCACCTTCCATCGATCTGCCCAGATAGCTCCTTCATCCGAGAACAATGCTCCCTCCTGGTCTGAGGTGATGAACTTCGGAGGGCCATGGACTCGAAACCAAATATGAGTGATGGCCGGGAGTACATCACCCGGCTCTTTTGACTTCACAAATAGCCCTTGAGCCCATCTGATACACATATCGATCAAGTGCACCACGATACCGTCATCCAGGAAAAGCAAATCAAACTGAATTCCTTCATTGAAGGTCGTAGTGAACGTTAAACTTGTCATCGACTTTTCGCCTCGTCGCTGCCATTCTCGACAGACGGTGCAAGTGTCCACGACATCCTGTACCATATTGATCACTTCACGTGGTAGACCTGCGGCCGAGAGAAGGTCTCGTAGTCGTTGGGCCGGAGCGTGCCAGAGTCGTATATGCATGCGACGTAGAGTACGTTGCACCATTCCAGGAACCGCTGATCTCAGCCCCTGAATAGCACGTCCCATATCCCACTGCGTCCAGTCCGCTCCTGTGTCGATCTGGGCCATAGCATCCTGAAATCTGCGCCTCCTTAGTGCCACCTCGTCTCCGCTTGCCCCGGCCGGAGGTCCTGGTCCTCCTGCAGGAAGAATGGCTTCCTCCGCTGCTGCATCCGGAGCCGCTCCAGAGGGTCCAGCTTCAGGATGAGGTTGTACGTCATCATCGCCTTCCCGAGCTGCGGCCGAAGCAGCACCTGAGGGTCCGGCTTCAGGATGTGGGGCTGCGTCCTCCTCTTCTTCTCCTGCTCGAGGATGTACTCGATGTCCAGCACCTGCCGCTCGTGCTGCCGGTACTCGCGGATCTCGAGCGTGAGCGGGTCCCGATCTTCTCGTCCCAATCATTCTGGGCTCGTCCATGAGGAGGCGACAGTCTGTGTCGAAAGTGTGTCGGGGATCGTGCCGATCTCGACCCGTTCTGCATGCGGGACAATTGTACTCCAGCGGTTGTACCAGCGGATGTCGACACTGTCCCGGGATGCGATTGTGTGTCGGATGCGTGCTGACTCGATTTCTCCGACATCCGGGACATAAATGAGGTCCGATCGCCGCTCGACGAGCACGCGGATCAACCGCTGCTTCTGGTGCGGGCGGTGGCGGAGGAGCACTTGCTGCCGCTGCCTCTGCTGCTGGAGCTGGTAGTCCAGGTGGAGGATGGTCAATAGGAGCGGGCACTCCTTCGCCATTCATCCTCGGGTACGCCATTACTGTTGGATAGATCAACTTCCTCAGGTCCAATTCGTGAAGCCATATCAACTCTGAGATTCCATCGGCCAAGATACGAGCGAATTGCCAGGTCCATACCTGGGAAGGCTTGGTGTCCCGTCCAGAGCATTCCCCATGCCGATGCTGACGATCACACTCCTTGGAGCGCAGCCGATAAATCAGCACCTCGTGACTCGCCCATACCTCCTCCGGCTTGTTCAAGGGCTCCTTCTTCGAGTTGACAAGTCCCAGCATACACATGTTGAACTGAACCCAAGTGAGATTCTTACGTGCCAGATCCATCCATTCTGGAGTTCGATAAATACGACTTCCCCTCGGCAACTCATTGACGTAGTGGCGTCCTCCGTCCAACTGAATATGGGCTGCCTTCGCACAAATCTGTCCTAGCCTGAAAGATGCCTCCGCATTACGACGATGCACCTCGCTGCCCATCGACTCGTTTACCGTGCACCATCCCGCGGTACCAGTACATTGAGGAGCCATCACCAACACAAAGGGTCGCTCCTCCTTCAAATATTGGTAGAGCTCCATCTCCTCGTCCCGCTGGAGGAGATCTACGCCCATGAGAGCATCAAAATTACGACCTCCTACGTAATGTCGTCGAACGAGTAGCTGAGTGGTGCGTCCTTCTCCTCCCATGATTTCAGCGACATCTACGAAGAAACGGTTCTCGGTCTGCTTTAGGTGATTCAGGAAGGATCGACCCGATGGGATGCCAAGGAAATGTCGTTCTCGATCTGGAGGACGTTCATCTCTGAGTCTTCCGATGATATCATCCGTCTTGAACTCGCTCGGTTCCAGATAGTAAACCTCCACCTCGTTGTCCGGCATCTCCCACCAGCACACCTCCTCGTTCTGTAGGTAGTTGAGCTCTCCGAGGTCCTCGCCACAGTCATCCATGACGTCGGGATCTATAATCCTCTTGACCTTCTTCTTCGGTTCGTGTCCCTCGGCCTTCCTGGACTTCAGCTTCTCCTTGTAGGCCTTGGCCGAGTCGGTCGGATAGAAACTGACCGTCATCGATTTCGTCACCACCATGTGGGAATCAACGGGCTCATCCGGTCCCGTCTGCGGGTAACGTGCAGCTCGGTCCTTATCATTATCGTCATGTACCTCTCCTCGAACAGCATCGCACAGCTTGTCTCGGAGTCTATTCTGCCAGAATACGGTAAGAAACTGACCTTCAAGCTGAACGTGTTCCAACCCTGCCGATCTACGATGATCTGAAATCTTACGACCGCAGCTGCACGGGTCGGGCAGCAGGTCCAGGTTGGAAAAGAATCTCTGGCTGGTCGTCGGGGCCATGTCTTTGCCTGACGTTAAGTAGCTGCACCATCGATGATCTGTCGTCCGATATCCTGGCAAGGTCGTTGCCGTCGCTCTGAGAATATCATCCTCCTGCCAGGCCTCATTCGCAGTTTGGGACTCGACCACCAGCACGCACCGAAGCTGAATCAAGCGCGCGATGAGTACGGAGGTCGCCATCAATCTTTGCCTTTGTTTTCGGGTCTTCCCTTGTCTTCTAGTAACGTCAGGTATCAGGGAATGTAATCGCATCCAAACACCTCGACACTTCCCTCGCTCCAAGAGTCGGAGAATATGCTCCATGGTCGAGGTGTGCAGAAGACTTAGGCGGGTGTAGGTGATGTGGGCCTGACTCAGTAGCTTCGTGCGAATCGGATGGCCATTGTCTTCGTCTATCACTATGATATCAGGGTCCTGTTCGGGGACGTCCAGATGCCAAGCTATATGATTTCCTGCGGCACCGCCGTCGCTTGGTAACGGCGGTCCGCACCCTCAGTGCTCCGCAGGCCTCGAGGTAATGGCCGGTGACGGTTCGTGCGTCGACGAGTCTGCCTCGTCCTCCTTCGCCTTATCTTTGATCATAGGCTTGACGATCACAAGCGCACTCGCATGCCAGGTGGCCGGCTCCTGCTTCGCGCGAACCTTCTTGTCCTTACCGTTGCCGAAGAAATGCGAAATAGGTAACAGCAGATGTCCTGATCTTGAATCTTCCAAATTGAAAGTGAGCGTCCCCGGCGGTGGTGTGAACTGTACTCTTCCCGGGCCACACAGATACAACTTGTTGTTGATCATGTCGACCACCGCCCTGTTGTGCTTCAGACTGCGCTTTCCCCAGAGAGCGGGAATGTCGGAATCCGGAACCACTGGGGCCTTGTAGCTTATCTGATGCACCTTGCCTCGTTCATCCTTGGATGCGCCTGGCATCGTCACCTCCTCCTTGGCGATCTGAGCGTTGGTACCGACTCCTTCAACTCCGATAGATTGATCCATCAGACGTTGTGTCGGTTCCAAGCCTGCCCGTTTTGCCAAAGCTCCCATTCGCATAACCCATCTGTCACCCACCAAATTGTCATATGCACCTGGATCTATCAACAAGCACTCCTTACCATCAATTCGTGTCGCCTCTAGAAATACCTGTCGTGTCTCGTCGTATCGCTCGAACACCGGTCCCACAAACCACTTCAATCCAGCGGGCTTGGTTCCTGAGTCGATCTGCTCGTCGTTGGACCGATGCTCTCCAAGAGTTGCCTCCGTGTCCGGGCCGTCTATGATCCGAGCCTTCGCCTGTTCGATCATCTGGATCGTCTCATTGCCGATGTCCACGAACTCCGAGGGAGTCGACAGCATATCCCAAGATGCGGACGAAGCACAGTCACGGCGGACCCCCTCTTGAAGGTCTGGCCGTGCATGCGACTCGCACAGGCGCGAGCCTTCCTCCTCCACGTCCGGGTAGTAGCTGTCCTCGTACTCCTTCTCGTCATCCCTGGACTCGCCCACCTGTGACTCCAGGTGGATCGGCATGGCGAAGAAGTGTCTGGTCGCTGCTGACGCTGGCGGTTGACCCGTGAGTTGCTGCCAGTGCTGCAACGCACTGGAGAAACTTGAAGCTGGTGGGGCTCCTCCTGTACTCGTGTTTCCTTCCGTCGTAACGTAACCCTTTCCTCCTGAGGTAGCCCGTTTTCGTCGGTAATCGTCAGCTCCTGGAGCGTCGCACTTCCTCCATAGATGCTTCTCGCTGTTGCAGTGGTCACATCGAAGTGGCTGTCCGTTCGCGCCTCTCGGGTTGGTCTTCTCGCCCTTGCCCTTGCCCTTGTAGTATTCATGGGTGTTCCACGTACACCCGGGGCAAAGAGCTCCGTCTCCTGCTTCAGAAAGAAAGGACCATCCACTGTTTCTCTGGAATCTGACCCCTTTCTTGCCCTTGCCCTTGCCTTTGTATCTACGACGTCTTGGAAGTCTGTCTGCTCGCCTCCTCCAGTGCTTCTTGGCCAAAGCGTATACTTCATACAGGTCGCTGTCGCTCATCTGGGCACTGATGTGAAAGGTCGACTCCGCCAAATCGTTGCCGTCGTCATCACTCGTCTCGGTGGAGTCCGGATCCTCCCGGTCGTAGAATATTTTATGGCAATTGCTGCACCAGCATCCTTCGGTATTTGATCCATTCGGTATCCCAGCGACACCACCGAGTGGTGCACCTGACCTCGACGAAGACGATGCACTGGGATAGTAGGGCATCGGTGGCGGTGGTACTCCCACTTGTGTGCCGGCGTCTTGTGAACTGTCCGTGAAGTAGAACCCATCGCCGGCGCCTGCGGAGTTTGTGAAGTGCTGATGTCTGGATTGATGAGCTGCCTGCGCGAGTCCACTCCGCTCATACAAATGATTCTGACGCCTGATAAAAGAGGTAAGACTTGAAAGCTCCTGTTCATTCGTTGGCAAGTTACCTCCCGTTGGTGCCAGAAATTGCGCCCACTGTGGCGGTGGAATACCAAGAGCATTGAGCAACATCCAAGCCAGATTCGGGATCCCCATATGGAAATTTCCCAGATGCTCAGCCTTGAACTTCAGAAGATCAAATCGAGCTAGAGCTTGGTCAATCGGTTCGCCTGGCCTTCGACGGAAGGCAACTAGGTCGGTCATGCTCGCGATAGCGGTCTCCACCTCCAGCGGCATGAATTTACGCCGCAGCCCATGAATCAATAAGTCTAGCCCCGAACACCATCGATGTCCAGCTCCATCACGTAGGTCCATGTAAACTCCGTCTTGTAATTGATCTGGCGGCACCTCTCTCGATATCTCCCTGGCCAATCCTGATAACTGCAAGACCACGGCTGGAGCAATCGAGCGTGCCGGTATGTCTGTCATCGCTTCCCACATGCGAATATCCGTGATCCAGTCACGGAGTGGATATGAAGATTCCCTGGCGGGGTCCCAGCTCGGTGGCGTCTTCGTATTCGACTGCATGATCTGAGGTCCCGCTGGTAGTCCACCTGCCATCTGTGGAGCGTTGGACATGACGTAGTCGTAGTAGCGCAGTGGTGTCGTATCCTGGGAGCAGGTACGGGATCGCACCTGCTCCGCTACCAAGTTCTTTTCCAGATGCTCACCCTCCCAGGTCAACGCCTCCCGAGGGTCGTAGCTGTCCAGCTCTGCCAGCGCGTCCGCCGGCAAGGGTGAGACGTGCACGCCGAGCGTGCCAGTCCTGAGAGCCCTGCTGGCCCCGAGGGCCACGAAGAGGGAGAGGACCACGAAGATCGTCGTGATGTTGATAATCTTGATTATCTGATATGGAATGATGGTGGAAAGAGGGGGCTGCCGCCGCAAACAGGATTCGCACCCTCAAGAGAGAGGCTTCTCACTGAATGGCTTGAGCCAAAGCGGCAATCACGCCGCTTTGCCATATACATGCCTCTCTGCACGCTGGGCACTCATGCTTGCCCTCCCTTCTCCCGGGAGGACATCTACACATCAACTCTTCCTCCTCCTCCCCCTGCTCCTCCTCCTCCTCTTCCTCCTCCTCCCCCTCCTCCACTTCCTCCTGCTGATCCGATGAAGAGAAGAAGGAAGAGCAAGAGGAGAAGGAGGAGGAGGAGGAGGACGAGGAGGAGGAGGAGAAGAAGAGGAAGGAGGCGAAAGGGTGAGGAGGAAAGGGAGGGAAGGGAAGGAATGAGGGAGGTATGGAGGCCGGAAGGGAGGGAGGGAGGGTGGGAGGGAGGAGGAGGATGAAAAGCAGGAGGAGGGAGGAGCGGGATGACGGAGGAGGGCGGAAGGAAGAGGAGCAGGGGGAGGAGGCAACATGTTTCCGTGCGGTGCTGCCCTCGCCTCTGGCCGTGGTGCCTGCCCTTTCCTTATGAAAACCAACTCTCAAGTGGACCAGAGGGCCACGATGCGCGTGAGGGGTGTTCCGACATTGGGCGTCGGTGGGCCGTCGGCAGCGCTCCGCAATGGGCCAGGGCCACGATCCATGTGAGAGGTGTGCCGAACTTCAGCGTCGGGCGGCGATCCAAATGTGGCGAAGTCTACGATCCGTGTGAGTGGTGCGCCGATATTGCTCATCGGTGGGCCGTCGGCAGCGCTCCCAGGTGGGCCAGGACACGATTCTCGTGAGCGGCGTGCCGGAATTGGACGTCGGTGGGCCTTCGGCAGCGCTCCCCATTGGACCAGGGCCCCGATCCTAGTGAAGTGCGCGCCGGAGTCGCGCGTCGGAGGGCCAGGCCCACGATCCTCGAGAGGGTTATGCCGAAATGAAGCGGCTGGCAGTGGCGGTTGCTCCAAATCCGACGTCGACACGAAGGACAAGTGTAAAACTGTTGTTTTTTGTTCACTTTCTAATGCGAATCCAATCTACAGCCTCTACAGCGAATAGCGCACGAAGGTTGGCATTGGCGCGAAAGACACGAAGGCCAGGTTTGAAACTACGGTTTTCGAAATTCCCCTTCTGATGCAACAGAAGAGTACACGAAGGTGAGCTTTGTAGCGACACGAAGACCATGTGCACCCCTACTACTACTACTACTACTACTACTACTACTACTACTACTACTACTACTACTACTACTACTACTACTACTACTACTACTACTATTACTACTACGAATACTACGAATACTATTAGTACCACTGCTACATCCACTACTAATACGAATATTACGGCTTCTGCTACTACTACTACTTCTACTTCTACTTCTACTACTACTACTACTACTACTACTACTACTACTACTACTACTACTACTACTACTACTACTACTACGACTAGTACGACCAAGTGTACTACCACACTTACTACGACGACTACTACTACCACTTCTACACCTAACACAACCACTACTACTACTACTACTACTACTACTACTACTACTACTACTACTACTGCTACTGCTACTACTACTACTACTACTACTACTACTACTACTACTACTACTACTACTACTACTACTACTACGACTACTACTACTATTGCCATCCGTACTACCACTACTACGACTCCTACTACTACTTCTGCTATTCGTACTACTACCACTACTACTAGTCCTACTACTATTTCTACACATACAACTACTTCTACTATTACTGTTACGACTACTGCTGGTACCACTAATACAAACACCTTGCGAGTACGACGGTTACGACTACTACCACCATTGCTACTACTACTACTACTACTACTACTACTACTA